TATTTTCTGAACATTGAGGGATGCTTATAAGAGTCTCTGTTTTTACCTGTTACTTTCATTTATAAGATAGGCCATTTTTATTCTGAGCAGCTGTAACAAAATTAAAGTAACAGCCCTAAAAACTTGCTGTTACTAATTGTTGTTGCTGCCCAAACTCCCAACAACCGTATATTCACTTGCCCGATACAGATAAAGGACAAGTAATGTAAGTACAAACTCATATCAACAAGTGGCCTCAAACGAAACCTCATCCCACTCTGCAAAAATGAGAGCCTTGTAATTTGCCCTAGCGTCAAGGTCAACAAATCAAGCCTCTGATAGACCAAAGAGGGAAATAAATTTTATGAGAGGCAACTTCAGAGTGAAATATTGTGCTCTCTCTGGGACTGGCTCTTGATGGTGTCTCTGGGTATTTCCAAACACTATGGATCCATAGCCGTGGTCAGGTTTGTCAGGATGTTCTACGCATCACTTCTCTTTTTGTTTATCTTAATCAGCAGACATAGTACAGGTAAGCACAAAATACACAAACTTAAGCCAACCCCAGCCATGCAAGAACATGAACAGTGACCTTGTTGTATTAAATAGTGTACACTCAGGTATAAAGTGCTTTTCAGTTCAGTCGTTGGACCCTTCACATCATTGGACTTTTCATTGCTGGGATCGCCTTGCCTTTTCACTCTATCCCCGGAAGTCTTTTCTGTTGACTTTGTCTCCCCATAAGGTACAGTATGTCTTCCCAATACGGGTTATGCAAGTTTTGGCTGTCTAGGGAGCTAAAGTTTCTGCCCTGAATTTGTATTAGGTAAAAATATCTCCATCTGACTTGCATTACTGGAGTCATATTGAAATTCCCCCTCTATGTAAGGTCTAGGGATTGCTTTGTGGCTTTCACTTATTAATTGATATCTTGCTTTTCTACAGAGGTTTTCATCTGAGTATCTTTAATCACTCTACAGACATTAATTATTGAAGCTTCTCAGGATACATATTATTTGCCCATGTGTCACATTTGTAAGATGAGAAACAGTGAGATTAAGGTCAAAATTTTCAAATGTGGATGTTTAAAGCTAGGCCATTCACATTGAGGACTTAACTAAATGGCACCAATGACAATCTGCCTACGAATTTAATCACCGAACTTTGACCAAATTGACTTGAGCTAGAGTGAATCAGAAGTAAAGCCCTTGGAATAGGGCAAAGGATTCCTACCAGTTTCCTTCTCTAACCACTAGCAGTCTACACCACTTGTAAGAAACTGATATGATTCCAGTGATCAGATAATCCAATCAAAAATGTGCTGTTTATTTTATTTCTTGAAAGATAAGGTGGGTAAGGTAATAACTTTTATTGGACCAACTTCTGTTGGTGAAAGAGACAAGCTTCTGAGACACACAGAGCTCTTCTTCGTGTCTGTCAGAATTGAAAAGCCTTCCCTGTACATGCTGAGCACGCCCCGGTTTCTAAACAATATCTGAAGGATATATATATTTTTTTAAGGAGTTCCATTACAGTTTGTTATTTGGCAGTTTCTAGAAACCAATTTGTTGTAAAATAGGTGGGATTGTTTATCCATGGCATCATTTTGCAATTCCAGGATGAGATTATCTGTTCAAATTGGGAGCTGAAGGCAGTGTTTGTCACTTGAATATCGGCTAAATTTTGTACCATTCTGTCCAAAACTATTTGTATGTGGAAAGGAAACCTATCCTTGGATTGCAAGTAAGATGACACTGGCCTGTATCCCTGAGAATGCCTCTCTAATTTCACATTGTGGTTGCCTTTAATTGACATTTATACATATTCACCAATCCTGGTTACTTTACAAAATATTTTATGTGAAATATTGGGGAGTCTAATGTATCTGTAGCCTGAACTGTGTTCCTGTACTTCTTTCCTGGCTGGTATAAACCCTGCTTTCTCCTGTCCAAATATTTCTGTCCCCTGATTTCTATTCTGGTTAATGAAGTCCCCACCACTGATAGACTCTGACACCCATTTTAAAGGTGACTTGCAAAGAATCTGAAGATGGCATGGAAGATGTGGGTTTATTTGGGGTTTGTTTTTGTTTTTCCAACCAACCTAAAAAGAAGGGGAAAGGGATTTCTGGGGGTTTTTTTGTTTTTTTGTTTTTTACTTTCAGAAATATCAGGAATATGAAAGTCTGATCTTCAGCAATTTGCTGAAAAAGCTATTGGGAGTCTTAGGTTTTTTCTTCACTACAAAAAAAGAAAAAAAGAAATTATTTGTTTTTACATCAAAATAGCTCTCTCTCTATGTAAAACCCCAGTGGGACAAGGCCTAGGTCACTTTTACCTCACCATAGCGAGTTGAGGTCAACCCTACACCCACTATTTAGGCTTTATCCAGCGAGTTACATTGAGATAAAAACTGCCCTGTGTCTCATCTCCACTAGCTGGCTATGTTGATGTAAAAAACACACCTTTTTGCAGTGAAGACATAGCCTCAGAGATTTGTATGATCTCTTCTCTCACCTTAACTGAAGGGTCCCATAGGCGCAGGAGTTAAAAGGGGATAAGAAAAGAGCAAAACACTTTGCACTACCTGACTGGTGCAAATTGCACCAAAGACTCCTGCCCAATACTTGTAAAAATATATATTGAATTCTTATAGAAAAAGGTTTAAAAACTCTTCTGCTGTCACGCTGAGGGACTGAATTTGCCCTCACACTCCAGCCCCTATTCACCGTTCAGACAGCATATAGGTGGCTGTAACAGCTCATAAGGGGCAGGAGAAAATGACTTCTACTTGGCTGGACCTCTTGGAGGGAGAGTACAGAAACTGTCCCGGTGTGTGTTCTGAGAACAGGCGTTGACACTCAGTCCTTTAGAACCTCATCCTGCAGCGAGCTGAGTATTTCCTGAAAGATCCTGAATTATCTCAGCTCCCACTGAAATCAGTGGAATTGCATGCTGCTTAAGCCTTACAAACCGCAGATCCCGGGTCCTATAGCCAGCCGGTGTACTTCAAAGCACCCCAAGGCCAGCATAGGGCCAGCACAGAACTGGCCCCAGGATCAGGGATTCTATCAGTCTTCTTTGTAGACCTCTTGTCAGCTGCACATAATGGAATTCGATTGCAAATAAGAGCATAAGCCTCTATTTTTTTCACTCGTTCTGAAAGAAATACAGGCAAATCTGTTCTTAATCCTTTATATTTGTCTATTTAAAAGACTTTACACATGATGGATATTTAGATGTGGCCCTCCCTTCGGCGTGTACGGGAGCCTTTCTGAGTTGATCCAGGCTGGCTTGATTATGAAACTTGAGTATAATTTAAAACCATAATTGGCAGTGTTCTCTGGATATGGCAGGGATTTTGTGAAAGATGCAATAAGTGTTATACAAAGAAAAAAAAATCAACCCCTATCACTAAAAGTTGTTAAAACCTGTTAGGAGAATGTATGACAAATGCAGTGCTAGAGTCACTGGCTTGGGTTATATAGCACCTTGCACAAATCTGGAAACAGGTGGGCTATATATACAATATCCCTTCACATAAATATATTGCTAATTTCTTCCCAAGGAATCAGAAGAGACAGCCCATCCTATCTGCCTACAAGTCGATAAGGTACAAAGCAACGATTTTAATGTAAAAAGAATCATGATGGCAAAATCTTTTGGCTGTTTATTACAGAATGTTACACTGACGATGTGATTATATACCTAAGCTATCACTGAAATGTCATTGCTGGAATTGTTTTTAACCAAAATAATACCAATTTTAGTCACTCAATTCAGTGACTGAATATTAGAAATAGGGTTGGTCAGAATTTTTAACAAAAATCTTGAAAAAAGCCCCATTTGTCAATAAGGCAAATTTTTCCCAAAACATTTATTTTATTTTCCATTTTTTAAATATTTTCATTAGCGACTTTAAACAATGGAATGCAGCCTGCTAGCTGCTGTGCAAGATGTTTCTCCCACACCCACCCACACCAGATTTAGGATTCTTTTTGCAAACGGTAGAAGGTTTATTTGGGACTCCGTTTTCATTTTAGGAGACTTTATAAATTTTCAGCTTTGAATGATGCCATTTAGTCACATGGTAGAATGTTTTTCAAAATCCCACAATTTCATGTTTGAAAATTTCCAAATTTCAAAAATGATTTTTTCTTCCTTTAAAAAAAAAGGGAAGGGGGTGTCAGAAAACAGAACTTTTTTATACAATTACAAAAAATGTGGAATCAAAGTACTTCCACTGAAATATTTCTCTTTTTCAACCAGCTCTAATTATAAATCTCACTAATCTGAATGCAGTTTTGTATATACGCAGCTTTGGTTGAGTGGGAAACCCAAGAATGCACTCTTTGTAAATACCAGGCCAGAAAATATGTGGACTGACGAATTTGAAATGGGCATATATCCTGTGATTGCAGAATGTATGTTCATGAAAATGAAGGAATATTTGTGTTTTTAAATAATGGATCTAAAAGGAAACAAGATGGCTCTCACTGAATTATCATCAACAAACTTACAACTCTTCATGTAATGGACTCTCCGAATGATTCCCTTAATTATACAGATGCTAACAGTACACATTTATTGATGTACAGTCATAGGGTCAAAGTCTGTGAATGGGAAGTCAGTAGAGCAGCCGCCATTTACATTAGCGCAGAATTTGGTCCTGAGTCTACTCAAACTTTAGAAACAATAAACTATGAAAGTATTTATCAAATAACAATTCCATCTAAAATTGTGATTTAAGTCTCAGAACGGGATGGTGGCGTGTTTTGAATTATGTGTGGAGAGGCTTGAATAGGCCAGACAATATCTTTGGCTGGGTAGAGGTCTGCTACTCTGACCCCGACATCAAAATGGTTATTATGTTCATTCCCCTCCTTCGTTCTTGTTTCATAAAGGTGTGACCTGTGCCCCATAAACTATTTGTACCTTGTGAGAGATCTTTGGGGCGGGATCCCCATGACAATAAAACTTGTAATAGCCAAGGAGATTATCAATTGTTCTTTACTTTTTCAGAGATGATTCTGCTAACTGCACTTGTGTGTCTGGCCACTGGGTTACAGCAGTCTGTTGGACAGGTATGAGCCTTAAACTTTATGTCCCTCCAAATGCTTTGGTTCTTGCTTAGAAGCCCACTATATGCATCCGAAGAAGTGGGCTGTAGTCCACGAAAGCTTATGCTCTAATAAATTTGTTAGTCTCTAAGGTGCCACAAGTACTCCTGTTCTTTTTGCGGATACAGACTAACACGGCTGCTACTCTGAAAACAGATAAAACTGATACTTGACCACCAGCACCATTAATTATAACCCCTCCTTTTTTTCCTGCTGATATTGGAAGAATCTCTGTTCTATGTTTGCACCAAGCACAAATTTCTTGCTGTTCTCGTTCTTACCAGCAGCTGGTCTCAGCAATTTCTACCTTTGTCCTAAAATACTTCTTCCTAAGCATCCATTTGACTGATTGGACAAGGAACTTATATTCTACCATCACCATACTATCTGAGCACTTCACAATCCTTAACATAGTAATTCCTGAGGTAGGAAAATGTTATCATCACTACCTGGCTGATGGAGAACAGAGAGGCTATGTGACTTACCCAGACAGAAAGTCTGTAGTATACCAAGGAATTGAACCCACTGCTCCTAAATGGAAGGGCAGCACCCTTATCACTAGACTATCTTTACTCTCTGTAGGACACCAATGCACCATAAAGATATATGATAATTCCAATGTTCATTGTTCCCTAAATAATGTGTTTAGTGATGATAAGAGTGAAGGAGGCATATTTTTGGTACATAAATATATAGGGCATCATCTAAAGCTCAGTGAAATCAAAGGCTTGTTCTACACTGGGGAGGTATCAATCTAAGTTACGCAACTTCATCTATGTGAATAATGTAGCTGAAGTCGACGTACTTAGACCTACTCACCGCGGTGTCTTCACTGTGGTGAGTCGACTGCTGCCACTCCCCCATCGACTCTGCCTGTGCCTCTTGGGGTGGTGGAATACAGGAGTCGACAGGAGAGCGCTCGGGGGTCGATTTATCACGTCTAGACTAGACATGATAAATCAACCCCCGCTGGATCGATTGCTGCCCGCCGATCCGGCGGGTTGTGTAGACCAGTGGTTCTCAAACTAGGGCCGCCGCTTGTTCAGGGAAAGCTCCTGGCGGGCCGGGCTGGTTTGTTTACCTGCTGCGTCCGCAGGTTCGGCCGATCGCGGCTCCCACTGGCCACGGTTTGCTGTTCCAGGCCAATGGGGGCTGCAGGAAGCGGCACAGGCCAAGGGATGTGCTGGCCACTGCTTCCCACAGCCCCCATTGGCCTGGAGCGGCAAATGGCCAGTGGGAGCTGCGATCAGCTGAAACTGTGGCATGGCAGGTAAACAAACCAGCCCGGCCCACCAGGGGCTTTCCCTGAACAAGCAGCGGCCCTAGTTTGAGAACCACTGGTGTAGACATACCCAAAGGGAGTCTCCACTGACTTTGCAACAGGCCCAACGAAATAACTATTTCATGGCATTCAGTGTTCCTAAGGCATGATTATCCTCTATTAGGATATAACTCAAGCATAGATCCTGCCCTCCTATTTTTAGCTTTTATCATTGGTGGGGTGAAGTTTAGGAAAAAAAAAAAAAAAAAAGATTAAAAAAAGCGTTGAAAACAAAACTGTAAGTAACTGTTTGTATTTTATGCAGATCATGGATCCATTGTAAAAAGCAAACCATAAATTGTTGCCATTTAATAGTTGTATCCTAACTTATTTATTTGTAATCATGAAAATGTTTCTATTATTACTTCTTTTTTTTTGTTTTCAGGGCTTTCGTCAAGCTAAATGTTTGCCTGAATGTCCCACAGGGGTATTTTTAAACAAAATCCAAAGCCAGAATGATGGCTACATTATTGCTTTGTATCATCTGGGAAACCTACATTGCATTTAACCAAACAGATCAGCCCATACTTCTTGAGGCATAATAGAAAAAATCAGTTTATGATTACTAAATCATGTTCATGATTCTGCAAAAAATCAGTCGTATAGAATGAGTGTTTTAATTAAGTCCAGAGGAAAGCAACAAAAATTATAAAAGACATTGAATACCTAACCTATGAGGCATATTTAGTCTTTAGAGAAGACTGATGGGGGGGGGGAACCTGATAGTCTTCAAATATGTTAAGGGTTATTATAAAGAAGATTGTGAGCAATAGTTCTCCATGTCCACTGAATGCAGGACAAGAAGTAATTGGCTTACTCTGCTGCAATTAAGGGAGATATAGGTTATTAGGAAGATATTAAGAAAAAATTCTAACTAAGAATAGTTAAGTAGTAGAATAACTTTCCAAGGGAGATTGTGTAATCCCCATCATTGGAGATTTTTAAGAGCAAGTTGGACAAACACCTGTCACTTGTTCCTGCCTCAGTACAAGGACTAGACTAGATGACTTCAAGGTCCCTTCCAGCTCTACATTTCTATGAGTCTAAGGCCTGGTCTACCCTGCTGTTTAAGTCGATGTAAGTTACATCGCTCAGGGGGGTGAAAAAATCACCACACCTGAGTGACATAGCTTACATCGAACTACTGAGGTGTCTACACCATGCTATGTTGATGGGAGACACTCTTCTGCTGAATTAGCTTCTGCCTCTCGGGGTGGTGGAGTAGTGAAGTCAATGGGAGAGCGCTCTGCCATCGACTTATCGTGTCTTCACCAGACCCGCTAAATCAATGTCGCTGCATCAATTGCAGTGGTGCCGATTTAGCAGGCCAGTGAAGACAAGCCCTAAATCTTATGGCTGGGATTTTTAAAGATGTTATGTCCCCAGTTCCTACTGAATTTCAGTAACAATATTGCATTACAAATTGTCAAGTTAAACACCTTAGATGTTTTAAATAACAAGTTTCCTTGCATGTGGCATTAATATAGAACTCTTAAATTTTTAAACCTGAAAGATTTTTGTGTAAAATTTAACTCCTGTCCCTGAGTGCTATTTGCTTTACTTAGGCTAAGGACAGACTGCAGTTTAGGTCAGTATAAGTTATATCGCTCAGGGGTGTGTAAGCCAACGTAAGCTACGCCTACCTAAGCACCAGTGTGGACAGCAGTATGTCGGTGGGAGATCTTCTCCTGCTGACGTAGTTACCACCGCTCATGTCACCGTAAGAACTCTCTCCCATCAGCTTAGAGCTTCTGCACTATCAGGGCTACAGCAGCACAGTTCTGTAGTGTAGCCGTAGCCTTAGTATTTAATTCAGCGCCCAACCCTGAAACCAGATCCACATAGGTGCTGCCTGCAGGCCAAGCATTGGGGCCTCAGTTAGTAAAATTACACTAGACTAGTCAGTTTTATTTGTAGTCATTTTAAAATTCATTTTCAGGGGCTAATTTGCTGCACTATTTCTGTTCACCCTTTTAAAAATACAAATAAATATTCCCATGCAAATTATTTTCTTTGCATTTCTTCCTAGAAGTCTTTCTATTGATCTTATATTTTTGTTTTTACAAAAGCTTATATTTACAAAACCTTACATTGTGGGCCAGTTTTTTTGAAAGAGAACCTTACAAATCACACTTGTAAAAGCTGCATGACTGGGACCATTTCAAACACTGGCACACAGAATATTTTATGAACAAGTACATGGTACATTATTTCATTTTAGGATCCAGCTCCAGTATATGCTGCTTTGTCTACTGACTTGCCAGAAGTGCAAATAGAGATCACTGACCAGCACAATGAGCTCAGGAGATTGGTATATCCAACAGCTAGAAACATGCTGAAGATGGTAAGATTGTATATAAGAACCTCTTAGTGTTACGATTCTAGCAGTGGTTTTCAAAGATCTCCATAATGGGACCCACCAAGAACTCACTCCTGGTTTGCTAGACGCTAGCTGGGACCTCCATTAACCATTCAACGCATTTGGTTGTGATTTCCGGACTCCTACTTGTAACCCAGTTGGGAGCTACCACATTCAGAACGAGAACCCATGTGTCAGCGATTGAGAAGCGGCTCTTTGCTGCCATAGTACAAATAGTTGAGCTGGCTGGAAATTTTGTGACAGAACATTTTTCTCTTGTAAAATGCTGACTCATCCAAAATGAAACATTTCATGGAAATGTGTCGGGTTTGATTAATTTTTTGAAGGAGTACCACCAGGTACTCCAGGCCTTCCAGGGTCTACAGCTCCAGAGCAGTTCACTACACAGATTGCCCCAGGATTGGAGACCCCAGGAATTCTAGGCTCCCTGATACAGAGCTGGGAGCTCTGACACCAGTAGGTACTCTCAGAAACTAAGTACCAACACCGCAGCAGGGAGCCTGGACATCCTGGGGGCCCTCAGGGCTCCCTGCCATGGAGCTGGTAGCCTGGAAGACCTGTGAGCCCCAGTTCCTAGGCTCACAGCTTAGCTGTAACTCATAGACCTTCTAAGCTTCCAGCTCCCTGTCAGCCCTGATGCTGATAGGGAGCGGGTGACTAGAAGTGCTGGGAGCCTGGGCTGAGTCCATTTTGGAGATTGGTCTCTGAGGTGGGAGTTAATTTTGAAATTTTCCAAAGGAAATGTTTCAGTTATTTCTAAATAAGTCTCCTTCAATTCCCTTCCACGGGGAAATTTTGAAATGTCTACTTCTCACTTCAAAACAATTTTTTTCAAAATGTTGCAATTTCCCAAGGAACGGAAATCTGGACTTTTAACCAAGTAGCTGAAAACATTATCTAATGTATCAAGGTGGGGAGACCACATAGGTTTCCAGGGGAATGGAAGGAGAGGACAATAAGAAAAGAGAGTAGATGGGAGAGGAGCTGTGAAAAGTGAATGCTAGAATTATTGATGACCATTGAACAGGATGCAGTGAGTATGAAAACAGACTTCCATGTGGTTCTATACAGAAGCATCTTACTTACTCAGTTAGTTGCACATTCCATGATTCTCTGTATTCCATTCAAGTATAATGTCCAGGACACTGAATCTATTCGATTGCAATATGTTTTGCACCCTTAACTTATGTAGTACCGAATAACCAGATTGTTTTAAAGTACTTGTGAAAACTAAAACAATGAGAGCATTACAATGGAAACTGAAGTACTCTGGCCACAAAAAAAGTGCATCATTTAAGCAATGTACCTATTCTGTTGGTCATTATGGCTATATCCTGGAGAACCACCCTGAGGGGTGAGAAGCTCTGTCTTCATGCAAATTCATTTAGTTTGTTTAATTAGGTTCCCAATCATGGTGTTAATGGTGAAAATTTGTGCCAACATTAGTGGTGCTCTTTGTGGAGTGGACATTTATTCAATAGGTACTGAGTTGAGACCAACGACCCATTTAGCATAGATCAACAAAGAGACACATCAACATCCTCCCAAGCCATCCTCACCACCAATTATATTCACAAGCCTAGTTCTAAATTCTAAAAACTGCACAAATCCCATGGGAATCAAAAGGAACCTCTGAAAAATCAACCTCTGAAAAATCAAGCCTCCTTTATTTATATGCCTATCTGTAGATTTAGGGTTGATCAGGGGATTTAGACACACACAATTCCCATTAGTCAGCTTTGAAAATCTCAATCTGGGTTTCTAACTTCAGGAAAGCGAATCAAAGCAGGCAAATCAAATTCACATTTGCTGATTGTTTTACTCTTTGAATTGCTTAAGAATGCCCAATATCTCCCATTTCATTAAGGTATGGAATGCTGAAGCTGCAAAGAATGCTAAAAGTTGGGCAGAACAATGCATTTATTCCCATAGTCCTGTATCCAGAAGAAAAGTTGGAAGTAAGTAAAATATGACTTTTGGCAAGCAATGTATCATTAAGCAGTCTGGACTACATGATGTTGCCTCATATGTGAGCGAGGAGAGAGAGAGTAAAGGGAGCTCTTGCCCAATAGCACAGAAGGGACAGTCATAAGCTAGTTCCCAGAACTGGGGAGACCATAGTGGTATAGAATGATATCAGTGCTATAGTAATCTACACGAAGAAAGTGAGTCTGTGTCCCACTGTAATGGCCAGTCCATATAAAGGAGAGGAGTCAATTACGGCTACCAGCAAGAGCAGTTTGGCTCTCCACAACTGGGAAAGGTGGGAATCAGATATTATGGTGATAGGTATATAGACAGATCCCTCTTGCAAAGACCAGGAGGTTGGCCAGAGTGGAGCTGGGTCTTGCAGATTTGGGAAGCCTCAATTAGGTGTGAGGAGTTGGGAAAATATCATTGTTTAAACTGGTTCATGTTGAAAACTTTAACAATAATTTAACCAGGTTCACATCTAAACTTAAAGGGTGTGATTCTTGTTTACACTAAGGCCTGTTTTATGCCAATCTCGCAGTGTAAAGGGGTAAATGAGGATGACACCCAAGGAGTTTAGTGTGCATGTATGTTAAATGTGCAAGTATGCACAGAGCATTGTTCATGAGGGCATTTTGGGGGGGCTGATGCAATTTCAAAGCAGTCATTCTTTCTTCTAGGTTGTTTTTTCTCCTCAATGATGAAGGTGTTACAATATTCCCAGAAACTCTTCATTATATAATTGGTGGACTCTCTTTCCATTATTTAGATATCACCTGTGGTGAAAATCTCTATTATTCAAGTGTTCCCAAATCATGGTCATCTGCACTCCAAGGCTGGTTTGATGAGAGAGATTCCTTCACATTCGGTGTTGAACCAACATCATCAAATGCAGTGACTGGACACTATACTCAGGTATGGATAGTGACTATAGCATAACATGCCACATTTGCTAAAGAGTCCTCTTAACTTGTGCCAGAAGTCTTATGCATGCAAGCGTTCACATGAGCTGGCATAGTTGCATATCTAACTAACTGATTTTCTAATGCGAATCCAGGTTTTGGGGCATAAGAGTAATTTTCTTGATCAAAATTAGACGCTTAAAAGTTTGCATGCACAAAATTGGTAACACAATTTTAGACTCCGTACTGAGGTGATTTGGAAAATGTGTTTAATTTGGATCATCACTAAATTCATAATTTAAGAAGGAAACAGATGCAGCCTTTGACATGAGGTACATTATTTTTTCCACCAGGGACTATCCAACATCACTCCTTGAGCCATAATATTTAGTCCACTATATTTAAGCAAGAAGGCACCCCTTCATAATCCTTTTATATAGCAGATAAGGCCTAAGCAGTGGATCCCAACTGGTCCTTATTTGACAGACAAAGATTCAGGGTAGTGTCTTGTCAATCATATCAACTGAAGATTTTGTCCAGTGCTTCCCCTTTCAAAATGAACCATCCTCTTGGACTTCTGGAGGAATTAGAATTTATATGAGGGGGTAGGACGCTGCTGAAGGTTTGATCTGTGAAGGAGTGGGAGCCGGTAGCAATACTATCTTTCCTAGAATTTCACCTCTAATGTCATCTAACTATCTGAGGATCTTCACTTAGATTCGGCATCTGGATTGCATCTGGATTGCAGTGCGGTCCTGCTTACATTACAGACACAAGGAGATTTGTGATGTCTTTGTCACATAAAGGACTCAGCCCAGATTTGAACATCCAGTATATGTCTAGCCCCCAGTCTAAACAGCAGAGAACACAACTTCTTTAAATACTGAATAAAACTAATCTGAAATATGCTTCTGTTTGCATTAATGACCCTCTTTCTAGGGAAATCACCGACACACTAGTCAAACATACTTACTTTTAGAAGCCCTCACTGCATCACGATTATAGTATATTGACAAAACAGGGACATCAAGGGGCAGATTCTCAGCTGATGTAAATCAGGGGAGCACCAGTGAGGCCAAGGGTGCTACTTTAATTTATAGCAGCTACAGAACTGACCTATGAAATCTACATATTTTACAAAATTCTGCCCTATTTCCTGCTGTCTGAGAATTACTCTCAGTTACATCACAGTGATGCTGTCTAGTAGTGAAAGCAAGGAATTGCTAGCTGAGGGACTCTGCCATGGATTCACCATGTGATTGTAGGCAAAGTGTTTCACCTGTCTCTGCCTCAGGTTCAACACCTGTAAACTAGAGATAATGATACCCATCATGACATCCTTCTTCGAGAGCCTTAATATTACTACTACATGGTACAATGATTCTGTGCAAAAATCTCAGTGGCAAAGTTAAATATCACTGTTAAATGTAGATATTATTATTATTACTCTTTACAAGAATAGATAACATTATCTAATGTGTTTTTTTTTTCCTATTTACAGATGGTTTGGTATAAGTCTTATGAGATTGGATGTTCATTTGCTTTCTGTCCATACTCGGCTCTGTACAAGTACTATTATGTTTGCCATTACTACCCTGCGTACGTATTCACTGTGGATTTTAGTCATTTTATAAATCCCTTTTGTCATTTCATTTCTGAAATAATTCAGCAAGACTTCAGCTAAATAGCAGCATGCATGATAATTACCATGTGTGATTATGAATGGATGAAGTGTGGTAAGGGTCAAATATGTGAATCTCTTGAAAAAATGTACAGGGATACTTACACCAAAACTAAATCCTTCACTATGAAACCCCCCAGCAGAATACCATGAAGATTATCTTTGAATTCCATAACTTTTCCGCATCAGTAAATTAAAACCCTCATGGTATGTAACCCTCTCAGACTGAGCCCAGTATGTAGTATTATGGCCCTACCAAACTCACAGTCCATTTTGGTCAATTTCATGGTCATAGGATTTTAAAAATTGTAAATTTCATGATTTCAGCTATTTAAATCTGAAATGTCACAGTGTTGTAATTTTAGGGGTCTTGACCCAAAAGGCAGCTGTGCAGGGGATTGCCAGGTTAGTGTAGGCAGGTCGCGGTACTGCTACCCTTACTTCTGTGCTGCTGCTGGTAGCAGCGCTTCCTTCAGAGCTGGGCAGCTGGAGAGCAGAGGCTGCTGGCCAGGAGCCCAGCTCTGAAGGCAGAGCCGCCGCCAGCATCAGCGCAGAAGTAAGGGTGGCAATACCATACAATACCATCCTTACTTCTGTGCTGCTGCCTGTAGAACTGGGCCCTCAGGCAGCAGCCACCACTCTCTGACTGCCCTGCTGTGAAGGCAGCAGCGCAGAAGTAAGGGTGCGATGGTGTGGAACCATTCTGCGGTGCTGCTGGTGTGGCGCTGCCTTCAGAGCCGGTGCCCAGCTACCAGCTTCCGCTCTCCGGCCGCCCAGCTCTAAAGACAGCGCAAATGTAAAGGTGGCATTACTGCGATACCCATAAAATAGCTTTGTGACGCCCCTGCAAGTCCCTTTTGGGTCAGGAACCCCAATTTGAGAAACGCTGGTCTCCCCTGTTAAATCTGTATAGATAGGGTAAAAGCACAAAAAAGACCAGTTTCACGGGGGCGTGAGACCAGATTTCATGGTGGGAGACCAGATTTCACAGTCTGTGATGCATTTTTCATGGCCATGAATTTGGTAGGGTCTTATCTGTGATGTAGAGAGAGAACAAATTGGCAAGAGAGACAGGAATTGAGGAAGATGGGAACGTTTTAAAGGGAATGGGCAAATCAAGGATACCTGGCTAGAGAGAATGGAAAGGAAAAAAATAATGAAACAGGTCTCATACGAAAATTCACTTTATTCACTTTAAGAACAGGAGTACTTGTGGCACCTTAGGCTTGGTCTACACTAAACCCCCAAATCGAAGTAAGGTACGCAAC